ACCCTGTTGGTAATCCTTGTAACTTTAATGCTATTGAACATCATAGAACAGAACCAACTTGTTTAATTGAAACAGCTGTTAAGATTCAATAATTCCATTTCTCATAAGGTTAACATGGGAAACTCCAGAGCCACTGGGGCGGAGCCCGAAAGGATTTTTGAAATAAGAATATGCCTATATGTTAATCGGGAATGTGAGCTATCATCATGCCAAATTTCAGCCCAATCCGACCAGTATTTTTCGAGTTTACTTTTCCCATTAACATATACACACATACAGCAACCACCTCTTTTTTATAATAGTATAGATAATACTTTGATAATGGTTTTTACTTTTTATCTTTACATACTTATAGTGGAGAATTTAAACATTGTTGAGTGCACAGGTGTGCTGCGATTGGGCTTTAATATATTTGGACTTATACAAAAGTAAAATAGTTTTTTGTGCTGCATTCTATGGAAACAGTGCGGCACTATTTCAAATCATGACTAATACAGAATGTTGTGATTATTCAAACCTACAAAACAGTTGGTGAAAGTAAACATCTGCTTTTAAATTATATTTATTTGTAAACATTGTAGTTACAAAAGTCTGACATTGGACCCCTTAAAACCCTCTGGGGCCCTTTTGACGGATCTGCACCAAACTTCACACAAACCATCCTTAAATAATGCTTAATACTGCCTGAAAGTTTCATTATAATCTTTTGAGCGGTTTCAGAGTCCATAGGGTACATACATACATACATACTTCCTATTTTATAGGTATAGATTACCTGTAAAAAATAAATACAAATAGATTTTAAATCAAGAACAAAAAGTTATTTTTCCTACAGTTACCTAACAATGTACATGTTCTCTCACTGATTTGAGAAAGCAAAGTGGCCAATTCGCTCATCAGTGAGACAATGTTCTCACTCTAACTACTTTGTCTCACTCCAGATTTGCAACGTGAAGGCACGAAATAGTGAGCGCGTAACATGCAGGCAACGTCGTATGCGCGCGAAATACGTTGGCAGCACTGGCTGTAAATCAGCTGGTCAGGTGTTGTACTGTTGTATTTGTCACTTCACATTAAATGTTATATTAAAAGTTCACTTCTGTGTAAAAATAGGTTATGTTTCTTCACCAATTTATTTGTTGTATGGTAACTGTAGGAAAAGTATAATGTGCAACTCGAGTTCAAAGTACAACTGCCTCACTCGAGAAACCATTCCTCACTCGCCTAAGGCTCGTGAGTAAGGATTTCTCTCGAGTGAGTCAATTGCTCACTTTTCTCACTAACAGTTGATTTGGAAAAAAAACTTAATCTATATTTTTTTATTCTTTAGGGATTTATTTTATAGATTTCTTACCAGCGCATGATGATTTTTCCATAAAATTTCAATCCGTGCCTATTTTGAAAAAAAAACATATTTTTTTCTTGTTTTATATTGGTGCAACAGTTGGTTGAATACATCAGATGGGGTTTTATTTTCAAAATTTAAAATTAAACCAATAATGTGTTGCTCATTGTTTATGTTATCAGAGTCATCAGAATTTAGTATGAACATTAATCTCATTGCTCTTTTTTATGTTTTAATACCTATTTTATCTAAATTGATTTAGTAAGTACGCCACTGAGCATGGGTTTAGCCCTTATAAAAATTAATCAGAGTAGTTCCTTCATGTGAAACAAAACTATTTATTGACTTACATTCTTACAACTTTTAATTCTATCTTATTAAATGTCACTGGCACAGAAACTAACCAAAACCAAAGAAACTTACACTTTGTTACATACGTCCAAAATCTAAACATATGTATTTATGACTTTTGAAACTATCCCTAAGTTATTCAATCATTCCACATTCCAAGTTACTAATATAATTATTGTTCATGTAATGTTTACGTAGGCTGTGATCAGTCATCTGTCAATATCACTTTTATATTGTAACAATTTTCACCACTGCTACTCCATTTATTTAATTATCAAATGTCAGGTAAAAACATTTAGCCTAGTTTAATGTTGAATGTAGTTGTTCATTCTTAATCACCTCTGACTTCTCTTTGTCATAAATCTGTTTGGATTGTGTTTTATCATTTAAAGACTAAATAGACCTAGTTGTTAAATTTCCTAGCCTTTGCCTGACACCATTGATTAGATCTTATAATTTTTCTTTCAATGAAGATTTGTTATTGTAAATTTGTTTAAATATAGTAGGTAGATAATATTCATTTTCTAGATTTTTACAAGTGCAACCTAGAGATACAATTACATACCTATTCTCAGTGCTCGATTTGTAAAGAATGAGGTGCTGGAACTGTAACACATTAATCTAGAGGTTAAAATACCTTTAATCCGTCAAAGTGATCAAACGTCACCGATGAGCGGCGACCGGTTTCAGCCCAGCTGTGGGGCCATCTTCAGGCGATGAAGGAACATAAATATCACTCCGAAGAGGTCGTCATACAGTCCATAAATACGTCACGAGAAACAACACATAGATACATTATTTACAAACACACGTGTGGCCACAAATTAACTGCGCGGCGGACGGTACGCGTACATTAAGTTGCTAGTCCAGACTGTCGTCACTGCCGTCTTGTCCATCTGCCATCCCCCTCCCCCTCCTCCAGTTCTTATCAGGTCCTTTGTGTGTTGTTACTATTCTTTCAATGCCGACTGCTGTCTCATATAAAAAATTACTTTCAAAAGAGGCTTTTTCGTTTAAAATGTGTTGGGGATTTTCCTTGCCAGCTTTGTAGATTTCGTACTCTTCTATTACATTTAAATGTCTGCCTTTGGTTTTGTGGATTTGTAGAATTTTTCAATTATTGTCTATTGAAGTGTATGAATGATTGTTTGTAATTAGATGCTCAGCAAATGCGGAATTTTGTTTCTGTGTGGACTTCTTTGGCAGGTGCTCTTTGAAACGTGCTTTGAAAGATCGCGCAGTTTGACCTATATAAAAACTGGGGCAAGTGTCACAATTAATTTTGTAAACACCTGTTAGTTCATTTTTATCAGATGAGGATTTTCTTTTTTCTTTTAGGAGGGATGACAATTTGTTTGAGGTTCTAAAAGATAATTTGACATTGTTTTTCGACAGCTCATTTTTTAGAGTGTTGTTTAGACTAATGCCATATTCTGTTGAAGTAAAAACTATTTTTTCAGAATTTATGGTTGAAGCTTTATTTTTGTTTTTATGTTTATGTATTAGTTTATCGACCATATCACTTCTATAGCCGTTAGAGACTGCGATGAACTTGATGGTATTTATTTCTTCATTGTAGTCGTTATCGTTCATAGGGATAGATAGCAATCGGCTGACGAAACTGTGGTATGCTGCCATTTTATGACTTTGAGGATGATGTGAGTTGATGTGAATTGTCTGGGATGATGTGGTCGGTTTCCTGTATATTTTAAATTGAAATTTATTTGTTGATCTAGATATTGTGAGGTCCAAAAAGTTTAATGACTTGTTGTTTTCTTCTTCCAACGTGAATTTTAGATTGTTATGTAAGCTGTTAAGGAATGAGCCAAGCATTTTTAGTTGTCTTTTTGTCCCATTAAACAGGACAATCGTGTCATCAACATAGCGGTAATAAAACACAATTTTGTTCTTGAGTCTGTTATTATCTGACCATAGATATTTATTCTCAACATGGTTTAAGAAAATCTCAGCAAGGATACTAGATAAGGGCGAACCCATGGCTAGTCCGTCATTTTGTGAAAATATGTCGTCTTCAAATTTAAAATAGTTCTGTTTGAGTACAGTTCTGGTGAGGTTAATTAGTTCGTCAATCATAGCAATGTTGAGAGAAGAGTTATTACATAGGTTTTCTTTCAATATTTTCAAAGTTTCATCAATCGGGATGTTTGTGTATAAATTGACCACATCAAAGGAAGCCAGCAAGTAGTTGTCTTTCAACTGTATATTGGCAATTTTATTAACTAAGTCGGAGCTATTTTTTAGACTATTGTTATTGTGGAATTTATATTCTCTTCTTATAATCGTATCAAGTTTTTTGGCAATTTTGTAACCTGGGGATGGGATAAAGTTAACGAGCGGACGTATGGGCATATCATTTTTGTGAATTTTCGGTAATCCTCTTAAGATTGGGGGTTGAGGGTTTGTTACTTTAAGGCATTTCATTTCTGTAGCTGATAATAGATTTTTACTGGAGCTTATTTGCTTGTTTATGTCCCTTGAGAATTTTATAGTAGGGTAGCTATTAAGTTTACTAATGCCATTTGCTTCAAAAAAGTCGTAAACTTTCTTTACATAATCGGCCTCGCTCACTGTAGAGATTACGCTGTAGAACCCCTTCAAGAGGGGTATGAGATAACGAGAAGACAACAAGCATACATCTTTCAACAACATAGCCAATACATAAAGGAACATAAAACGATAGGCCTATGTTACTATTACAAAATAGCTATTTGTGTATTAAGAGTGCAAAGTACATCATTGCCGCTCGAGAACCATGGCCATACATTTTGAGTGTGACAATGACTGTTTGTGCCCATTGTAATACACACAAGACTTTTCGTACCACCATGATACACATTTAGTGGTTAATAAAATTTCGTATAGGTTATGTTTGTTTTTTAGGTTATGTTGTTTGCTTACCGGATGTTAGTGTTTTATAGAAACGCAAACAGTAAAATTAGCTAATTTCGCAAACGCAAAAGCGAGCGGGATGAATGAAGCAATTTTGTGTACTGTTTATAGGTGTGGCAATGTAATAATTGGCATGCAGTAGTAGAAAAAGTAAATAACAGTGACAAATACAAGTTTTGACTAAAAGCAAGGAACATAATTAAGAGTTAAAGAGTTTCAACACAACAAAAAGAGCTTAATCAAAAAGAGCTTTAGTTTCATAACAAGAGTGATCTTGTTATGTATCTTATTCTTATTGGACATAAAATTGTACCTACTAGTAATTTTTTCAAATAAATGTGTTGCTTTCATGTTTACAATCACCATTTATCGTAAACTTTTGCTCTGTTTGCAGGGTGGCCGGGGGTAGAGAAACATTGTTCTGAATGTTGATACGACGTCGTCGCTGTGGCGATGATGCAAGGGCTGGAGGTGGCGAGTGACGAGGCTGACGTAAGTATTTAAACTCATTTTAGCGAATTTCCCATATAGGGAATATTAGCGAATTTCCCATATAGGGAATAAGCTATTACCGTAGAACTCATGGTAAGACCTGGACGCGGGACCGTTTTTTTTTTTCGTTTTGAGGTCCCTAGAGGCCAAAAACAGAATCCGTTCAAATTCATATACATATATATATATATTTATATATTTATATATTTATATATATATATATATGTGTGTCCGTTAGCACGATAACTCGAGCAAAAATGATCCGATTTTGATAAAATTTGGTACAAACGTGTAAACCTACGTTTATTCGAACGAGTTCGCGATCCAGCATGATCGGACCATGGGAACGGGGTTTTCTGGGGTAAAAATAGGTTTTTCCCATTTTTGACCCAAAAAACATAAAATTTAGCAATTTCTTTCCAAGCCATTTTGTAGAGCTCAAAAAAAACAAATAATTTAGTATATTGAAGCGTTATTATGCACCTAATGGTTACGGAGAAAATTCCAAAAAACTGTAAATTTAAAATTCCCATGTTATTCTTATGGAGAATAAGTAAACTGCTGTAGTTTGCTTGTTTATGAACATATTTTGATCAAATTTAGAAAATGTTTTTATTTCTTACTAACTATTAACATTAAAAAAAAAAAAAAAAAAAAAAACAGTTTTACCCTCCCTGATGCAGCAAACCTAAGTACTTGTTAAACTAATTCTTTTTAAATAGGAAATAAATGTTATATTTTTAAGTAGACATTTTAGTGTAAATCCAATCAGGCAAATGGAAATTCGCTTAGTCTGCAGGTTTGCTGCGGCGGGGGTATTTATGTTATTTGTAAGTTTCATAAGCTATTCCCGTATTTCATTGTTGGTTACGAATAACTGTCTCTCAGGTTTTCCATGTTTTTTTAAAGAGATTTATTCAAATCTGCCACTGAGCATGATTAACAACCTTAAAGCTTCTTTGTTTGTAGTTCATTTTTGGTGGGTGACATATCTTAATTAAATTATTATTAGGGTCAGTTTTTATAACTAAGAAAACAGTTTTCACAACCTTTTGGGATCAGACTCCATATTCCAAAAAGTTGCGAAAACTTTGTTAATTTGTCTACTCTTAAAGTTTACTTTGACATTTGGATATTGAATCCAACATATCCTAATACTTAACATGTTGTTGATTAGGCAATATTGGATGAGTCATAGTTTTTCTGATATTGTTGGGCTGTGATACATGATACATGATTTCAATGTAGGAGTCATGTGTGTTTTTATCTTACTCTTCTTCATATTTAGTTAATTTTTTTTATATCCAAGTATACAATAATTTTTAGCCCAACGAAACTCTACAAAAAAAAAAAAAAAAATCTGAAAAGGTCACAAAGAAATTTTAAATAAATTGCCAATTTATTTTCATTCAGCCAATAATTAGGCTAATTAATTATTAATTATAAGCTACAGTTGTACTATATATATGTGTTACAGCATCTACTGCACATTGCGTCACAGCGAGCGCACACTGTGCCGGATGCCAATGGCAAGTCTTCCTGCTTCTCAATACACCAGAAGCTAAGAGAACTTTATGTTGAAGAGTGTGCCAAAGCCTCCCAACAGCCTCTTCAGGTAATTAGAACAACTAACTGTATCAATTATGCTTGCTAACTTGCTTCTATCTTTTACATTGGTTTATTAATAAGTAAATCCATCAGACTCAAGTTAACTCCTAGCTCCAGTCTTAACTTATACATTCTTTTCACCCGAAAATTCAAATTGTGTAAAAGGTACAGTAACCTTTTACAGCAGAACCTCGATTATATAACCCTCAATAACAAAAAACCTCAACTAATTGTAAAAATCGCGTTAAAACCACAATAACACATAATGTAACCTCTATAAAAGGAATATTTCTATCAAAACAACCTGAATAACACATTTTTTAAAATTTTGACCTAACTCAGAACCCCCTTATTGCTGGGAGGCAATAATTTTATCTTCCCGATTATGAGGGTTTGACAAGATATTGCTGCGGTCAAAGGAGACAATAATAATGAGCTTGCGACTGAGAGGAATTGTCAAGGGAGGGATTGCTTACATGGGAGGCTGTGATGACGTCTTCACGATCGCGGGGAGATGTCAAGGCATTCCTGCTATCATGTAGAGATGTTTCAAGGTGGTAACATATTGCCGCAATCACTAGAGGCGATGGTAAGAAAAATATATCTCTTGCCTTTACAGGGAGATATTAACACTACCCTACGACAATCAATACAACAAAACCCGGAGTTATATTGCCCGAATCATGGAGGCTATGATTTTGTCTTTGCAACTGCATGGGTTTGTCATGATATTGCCTTGATCACGGGAGACAGTGGAGATGTCTTCTTGTTTGAGGCACTGGGAGATGTTCTCCATTTTGCTGTGATCACAGGAGTTGAAAATTTTACCAAGATTAGAAGAGATGATTTTTATAGAGTTAACAATATCTGTAATTATTGCTACAATTATTTAAAACACAATTTGACAAGTATCTGCAATCACAGATTATTGTCATGACTGCATTATGATGCAGATAGACAAAACAAAGGAGAAAGAGCCCAAGCAGGCTGCTTAAAAACAACTGTAATTACTTTCGGAACGGAAGTAAACTGATTTTAGAGTCTTCAACCTAATTAAAAGGTAAAAATTAAGGAATTAATTTTACAAAACTTGGCAAACTTCAGCAGGTTAGGGGTGAGTGACGGGCACAGAATGATGTCGGAGACACTTCATTTTCAGTCTTGGCTAGGCACCACTGCTGCCACCATGTTACTCACCGGTTGGAAGAAAAATATGCTGCTGTCCTCAGTCAATAGGTTTAGTTGTTGTGCTCTTTTGATTGGCTTTGGGTAATCTAGGTAGGGCCAGTTCATATAATGTATAACACAGTACTTGTACTGATGTAGACGGACCTCTGATGAGGTAAATGAACAACTCAATGTTTTCACCCACCAGTCATCTCAATTGCATTTAGTAGAGGAAAATAAATCCAACAATTCCTTTACAGTACACTCTCGATTATCCGAGCCCCCGGGTTATCCGAGATATATATATATTACCTAAATATATATATTTTTTATTTCCAGTCGGAAAATAATAATAATGTTTTTGAGAATGTTTCTGATGAAAGTAAAGTAATAGTAGTGAGTAATTTGTGATATCTCTAAATTAATACTTTAAATAATGAATATAGGTATTTTTTTTTACGTACAAATGATCTGCAATAACCTAGAAAATGAAAATCACACACAGTATTAGCATTGTACTACTTTGGCTACCAACCATTTTTGGTTAGCTGGACAAGTTGTCTGCAGAACGTTAACAAAAACAGTTGTATTTCTGCATGGGCATAGCCACCTTGCCGGTTTGTATTGCCTTTGGTCAGTGTTTGTCATTACAATATTTTAATATAATGGTGCCAAGTATAAGTTATTTTAAGTCAAACCCAAACAAAAATAATTTTATACTTTAACTGTAGGGATCCACCTTATTGTGTTTTTATTTAATCCTGTAGAGTGTTGGCTTGGCATCATTTAATTACTGTATTTAACGTTTTCCAAGACAATTTAAGAAGTGTTGAGCATCTTTGAATTATTCTTTTCCTTAATAACACTGTCTTATTATTTAAATACCTTTTCCATTAAAATACCTATTATTGATAATTTTGTATGCCTATTCACCATGCATTGTTATTAAAACATACTTTTCAAGTCTTTGACTTCCTCATGTGGTAGTGGTACCGTAACTCCTAACCTCAAAATCTAAGACACATCCGTGTTATTCCAGATTCTCGGTAACCTCAGTTAATCGGGAGTGCACACTATAGGATTCCATAATATTATGGCACCAGAGAGTGATATATTTTTCTTTTCTTACCATCATTATTTAAGAATTGTGGTTAATACTTAAATTAATGTTTGTTGTCAGTACCTGAGACCAAGCTCACATCTACTAGAGAAGTTGGTGGCCCGAGAGCAACTCAACACTCTAGTCCTAAACCTCTACCCTGGAAACAAAGGCTACTCCCTTAGTATCCAGATGGGGGGAGATAAACTGTCTATTGAAACTGCCAAGTTTGCCTACCAGGTTAGTTGTATAGAACCTTGGTGAAATTACTGTAATTCTTAGAATAATACATGTTTAACAATATACTATCCAGCTTGATAGTAGGATTGTCTGGAAAATAAGGTCTCCAATAAACTCCTTTCAATAAAGAATGAGCTATTTCTAATATATCACTATAGTCCGTTCACAAAATTTATACAGTTTGAGCGGAAGTTCCCCCTCTACATTTTTGCTTATTGTATATTTTGCAGCCGATAAACGTTTATTGGCAAACCTTAGCTTTTGAACTATTGTTTTAAAGGTATGATCAAGAAAAAAAGGAAATATTTCTTCCCTAAAGCGTCTAAATCTTTTGAACCGAGTATAGCACCAACTTATTTACTTCCTCCACCACAATTCTAGCTATACAGTAGAGGAGCTTAAACCAGTTGCAGCAAGATTGATAAAATTAAAAGGTTAGCTAACTTGGACCTTATTATGAAAAATCTTTGTTTACACCAAAAATCTTGTTTGTAAATTATCTTAAGAATCATTTAATTACAAAAGTTTATAAAAGTAAAATATTCTTGCTACAACTTTTATATGGGAATGGAATGTCTGGAATAGTCAAAGGAAGTATGCAGTGTATGAAAACAGTCAGAACGTACAGTCAAATGCAGATACCTAAATCCTGGTAAGTATATCTTCCAAGGAAAATACGGAAGTGGAAAAGGGTTTGACTTGACATACTTGCTTAAGCTTACTGTCATAGCACACAGAACTAGTACGCCAAATTCCTTTCCGTAGGAAGAGTCGGATGAACAAAGATTAGATAATCGACACGCTTCTATAGTAGTCATTAACAATGGCAGGGAAAATTGACATTCCCGCTTGGTAAAAAATCAGTTTAAATTGTGTCAATTGTTCTTTTGCAAGGGGTTCAGTTCCAGTTGAAATTTAGTGCTAGTCAACAGATAAATATTTAAGAAAGGGTTTTGACCTTATATGGCAAATGGTCTTGGAAGTTTGAAAAAAGCCACAGACAGCGAGGCTGGCTACTGTGACATTACTGAGTGTTGCGTGGAATAGTTAAGAACAAGTCCCTGGAGTTTGATTTGAACTAGCTCACTACAAAAAACTGTCCTAAATAATTTTATTTTTATTTTTTTATTCATATCTCACAAAAATGAAAAAAAAAACAGTCAGACCTTCCCTCACTTTGTATGTGAGACTTGCCTTGTGTGATGTTTTGACAGGAGGATGTACTATTGAGCTATATAGACAACGAAGAGTTACCTCCTACGTTGACAGACCTGCTAGAGAGAAGTCACCCAGAGTTGTTCTACAGTGGCTGTGTGATAGTACAGGTGCGGGATTACCGTCAGACCTTCCCTCACTTTGTATGTGAGACTTACCTTGTGTGATGTTTTGACAGGAGGATGTACTATTGAGCTATATAGACAACGAAGAGTTACCTCCTACGTTGACAGACCTGCTAGAGAGAAGTCACCCAGAGTTGTTCTACTGTGGCTGTGTGATAGTACAGGTGCGGGATTACCGTCAGACCTTCCCTCACTTTGTATGTGAGACTTACCTTGTGTGATGTTTTGACAGGAGGATGTACTATTGAGCTATATAGACAACGAAGAGTTACCTCCTACGTTGACAGACCTGCTAGAGAGAAGTCACCCAGAGTTGTTCTACAGTGGCTGTGTGATAGTACAGGTGCGGGATTACCGTCAGACCTTCCCTCACTTTGTATGTGAGACTTACCTTGTGTGATGTTTTGACAGGAGGATGTACTATTGAGCTATATAGACAACGAAGAGTTACCTCCTACGTTGACAGACCTGCTAGAGAGAAGTCACCCAGAGTTGTTCTACAGTGGCTGTGTGATAGTACAGGTGCGGGATTACCGTCAGACCTTCCCTCACTTTGTGTGTGATACTCACCATGTTCTTCTGCGACCTACTACTCAGGTAAATATCTTGTAATCCCTATATTCAACAGACATATAAAAGGAGTGGTTTAGTTGGGAAGGATTTTTGAAGGTTATACAGTAAAAACCGGATAATCTGGTGGTATCCAATAGTCTGGCGCTTACAATAATCTGTCATCGGTCTAAAGGATGAAAAAATTGTATGCTGTTTTGACCTGTAATAATGCATTGGACAGAGTTTAATGCAACGGGAGCTATTAGTAGACGTCGGTAGCAATCAACAGAAGCGGTGAGATCGGTGGAGTCGGTAGCAATCAACAGAAGCGGTAGAGATCAGTGGAGTCGGTAGCAATCAGCAGAAGCGGTAGAGATCAGTGGAGTCGGTAGAGATCAGCAGGACATCAGGAGTGAAATTGTTTTATTTTATTGGAATTGTTTTGTTTTAATTTATTTTTAGCATTTTATGTCATAAGCCTACTAATATAAGAGAAAGCACAATAAAACACACAAGATTTTGTTGAGAAGATTGGTCTTTTTGGCCAATGTTTTTCTTTTTGACAGGTAGTGGTATTTTCTCTAGTCTTACAATAATGGCTGGTGTTAATAATCCGACACCGCCAAAGTCTGAAACTTGCCAGATTAGTGAGTATCTACTCTACATTCAATAATGTGGCTGTGGGTATATTTTAAGCGTGACGCAATATACTATGTAAATGTAATGTTACAGAACCTGATAAATGAAGTAAACCTACTAACATCAGAGGGAGAGTGGACGCCAGAAGAGAGACTGGCTCTAGAGAGTCAACTAGTGTTGGCCACTGCTGGACCTCTGTGTCTAGACCCTTCACCTGCTGTCAGTCTTGTTCTTGTTCTTGATGTTACTTACATCAGAGGGAGAGTGGACGCCAGAAGAGAGACTGGCTCTAGAGAGTCAACTAGTGTTGGCCACTGCTGGACCTCTGTGTCTAGACCCTTCACCTGCTGTCAGTCTTGTTCTTGTTCTTGATGTTACTTACATCAGAGGGAGAGTGGATGCCAGAAGAGAGACTGGCTCTAGAGAGTCAACTAGTGTTGGCCACTGCTGGACCTCTGTGTCTAGACCCTTCACCACCTGCTGTCAGTCTTGTTCTTGTTCTTGATGTTACTTACATCAGAGGGAGAGTGGACGCCAGAAGAGAGACTGGCTCTAGAGAGTCAACTAGTGTTGGCCACTGCTGGACCTCTGTGTCTAGACCCTTCACCTGCTGTCAGTCTTGTTCTTGTTCTTGATGTTACTTACATCAGAGGGAGAGTGGACGCCAGAAGAGAGACTGGCTCTAGGGAGTCAACTAGTGTTGGCCACTGCTGGACCTCTGTATCTAGACCCTTCACCTGCTGTCAGTCTTGTTCAACAAAGGCTATGTAATGTTACAGAACCTGATAAATGATGTAAACCTACTTACATCAGAGGGAGAGTGGACGCCAGAAGAGAGACTGGCTCTAGAGAGTCAACTAGTGTTGGCCACTGCTGGACCTCTGTGTCTAGACCCTTCACCACCTGCTGTCAGTCTTGTTCTTGTTCTTGATGTTACTTACATCAGAGGGAGAGTGGACGCCAGAAGAGAGACTGGCTCTAGGGAGTCAACTAGTGTTGGCCACTGCTGGACCTCTGTATCTAGACCCTTCACCTGCTGTCAGTCTTGTTCAACAAAGGCTATGTAATGTTACAGAACCTGATAAATGATGTAAACCTACTTACATCAGAGGGAGAGTGGACGCCAGAAGAGAGACTGGCTCTAGAGAGTCAACTAGTGTTGGCCACTGCTGGACCTCTGTGTCTAGACCCTTCACCACCTGCTGTCAGTCTTGCTCTTGTTCTTGATGTTACTTACATCAGAGGGAGAGTGGACGCCAGAAGAGAGACTGGCTCTAGAGAGTCAACTAGTGTTGGCCACTGCTGGACCTCTGTATCTAGACCCTTCACCTGCTGTCAGTCTTGTTCTTGTTCTTGATGTTACTTACATCAGAGGGAGAGTGGACGCCAGAAGAGAGACTGGCTCTAGAGAGTCAACTAGTGTTGGCCACTGCTGGACCTCTGTGTCTAGACCCTTCACCTGCTGTCAGTCTTGCTCTTGTTCTTGATGTTACTTACATCAGAGGGAGAGTGGACGCCAGAAGAGAGACTGGCTCTAGAGAGTCAACTAGTGTTGGCCACTGCTGGACCTCTGTATCTAGACCCTTCACCTGCTGTCAGTCTTGCTCTTGTTCTTGATGTTACTTACATCAGAGGGAGAGTGGACGCCAGAAGAGAGACTGGCTCTAGAGAGTCAACTAGTGTTGGCCACTGCTGGACCTCTGTGTCTAGACCCTTCACCTGCTGTCAGTCTTGTTCTTGTTCTTGATGTTACTTACATCAGAGGGAGAGTGGACGCCAGAAGAGAGACTGGCTCTAGGGAGTCAACTAGTGTTGGCCACTGCTGGACCTCTGTATCTAGACCCTTCACCTGCTGTCAGTCTTGTTCAACAAAGGCTATGTAATGTTACAGAACCTGATAAATGATGTAAACCTACTTACATCAGAGGGAGAGTGGACGCCAGAAGAGAGACTGGCTCTAGAGAGTCAACTAGTGTTGGCCACTGCTGGACCTCTGTATCTAGACCCTTCACCTGCTGTCAGTCTTGTTCAACAAAGGCTATGTAATGTTACAAAACCTGATAAATGATGTAAACCTACTTACATCAGAGGGAGAGTGGACGCCAGAAGAGAGACTGGCTCTAGAGAGTCAACTAGTGTTGGCCACTGCTGGACCTCTGTATCTAGACCCTTCACCTGCTGTCAGTCTTGTTCAACAGAGGCTATGTAATGTTACAGAACCTGATAAATGATGTAAACCTACTTACATCAGAGGGAGAGTGGACGCCAGAAGAGAGACTGGCTCTAGAGAGTCAACTAGTGTTGGCCACTGCTGGACCTCTGTGTCTAGACCCTTCACCTGCTGTCAGTCTTGTTCAACAAAGGTTACACCATAGGCGGCATGCACTCAACACTCCTGGTATGGCTAGCTGTTTTGCCAACATGATTTTAATTAATTTGTCGATAACTGTATCTGGTGTAATGGTTACCAAGTCATCCAAAGACAAAAATCCAATGTGGTATTTTTTATCTGCCAAAGACTGTCTGATAAAAAAAAAAAAAAAAAACGAGACGTAAATGAAGGTTTATATTTGTACAGTTGTCAAATAATATAAGGTATTTTAAGTATTACTATAGTATTAGTGTAACAGTAGGTACATAAGGTATCAATACTATTTTCAACATGTTTTAAACAACAAAATTATGAAACCCTTTTTTAAATCATACAGGAATTCAAATTCATGTTAGGAGATCTAGTGGTTGTCTCCAACCTTGTTTTGAGTTGCTTCCTCTCTTCTTGAGTCACATATGAGTATGTGTGCTTGTGCACTTCTGTTATCTATGTTTTGTAACAGCACATATACTGCCTTAAATTGTTATGCCAACTAAGGTTATTGCTACCATCAAAACAATTTTTCCAAAATAATTATTACTTCTCTGTGATGTAGTTTTTTAAAATTTGGTAAAAAGGGCATCCATTAAAGAATTATTACTACTGAATACTTTTGGTCAAACCTTTTTGAAATCTGATCAGTTTTATTTTATTTGACATAATTTTTCATAAGTTTGCTTTACACTATGTGTGTTGTAGCCCTGAGGTATGCAGCGAGGAGGCACGGGCAGATATCAGCCAACCGCAAGCGAAAGTTAGACCAGTTATCTGCCAAACCTCTACCTCACCTGGCGGATTTCATCAGTCGACGCAAGACTCAGCCCTCGCGTCACGCTGCACGCCAACCCTCCACACAGCCCTCCGTCACGCAGTCGTCCAAGGTGCAGAAGAAGGTAAAGCTGTAAAAAATATCATGTGCATCACGTAATTTTGTTTGTGGTTTTTTTTTAGATAAGTACTTTTAAATCATCCTTACGTTGTGATTAGACGGGATTTCTAGTTGATCTTTATCGACGTCTTGTAAAAAAAAAAAACTAGGATCCTTTTAAATTGTAAACTTTTGTTTAATACAACATGAATGAGGCACAGTTTATGTTAGACGTACAACAAATACCGTGGCACACCATCGAAAATCTTGACTCTGTTGATTTAATGGTCTGTGAGCTTAATAGTACCATAAATGATCTCCTTGATAAACATGCACCTATAATTATAAAACGTTTAACAAAACTGCAACCTGTACCATGGATGACGCCTGAAATATGCTCTTTGATGGCCAGACGCGACTCTTTATCGGAGAGCAAGACGATCCCAAGATCAAATTGAATTTGATGAATATCGCCGTCTACATAATAGAGTCAAACAACTGCTGAGAAACTCAAAATTAAGATACATTCACAAGCTTTTTGGAGATAAAAATCAGTCTTCCAGAGTTTTATGGCACAATGTAAAAAGTCTTGGGCTTGGGAAGCAAACTGATTCACAACCAGATAATATATCTTTTAACGAATTTAATACCTTTTTTTTCTTCGTATAGTCAAAATATTAACCAACAACCAGTTAATAAATAACTAAGAACTCATTGGACCAAGGGTTGGAATATTCAATGTTTTCTTTTAAACCTGTTATACAATCTCTGGTGGTATACCAATACGAATCATCAAAGATATGCTTTTTGCCATTCTTCCAACTATTACTCATATTTTCAATACGTCTTTGAGACAAAGATCATTTCCTTCATGTTGGAAGTCTGCCCTCATTCGCCCATTATATAAGATCACCGCACCATCATCCTGTCAGGATTTCAGGCCGATCAGTATTTTGCCCGCTCTATCTAAAGACCTAGAAAGAATCGTACACTGTCAAATTACTGACTTTTTGACTGAAAATAACATCCTCTCACTATCAATCTGGTTTTCGCAAAGGTCACAGTACAGAAACAGCATTTCTTCGAGTTACAGATGACATTAGGCTCTCAATGGAATGTCGACAGGGTACAATTCTCTTATTTGATTTTTCTAAAGCATTCGATTGTGTAAATCACAGACTATTATTGCAAAAATTAAGGGCCGTAGGATTTTCTGATAGTGTTCTTGAATGGTTAAGATCATATCTGTCAGATAGGCCGCAGTGTGTTCAGGTTGATGACTTGAGATCAGACTGGGAGATAGTTTCATGTGGTGTGCCTCAAGGGTCAATCCTTGGGCCTTTACTTTTTGTACTGTACATCAATGTCATTGGCACAACTCTCACTCACTGTAAATACCACATGTACGCTGACGATCTACAAATTTACTCTCACTTCAACGCCGATGACATTAACTATTGTGTTTTAAACATTAACGAAGACATTGGACGAATCATTGAATGGACCGATAAACATGGACTTAAAATCAATCATGACAAAGCCAAACCCATCATTATCTGCAATCAACGACTGCAAGGCTCAATTGACTTTCATGCTACAAATCCAATCACTGTTAACGGAACTGAACTACCATACTGTGACAAAGTGAAAAACTTGGGACTGACTCTCAACACTACACTCACTTGGGGAGATGCAGTGATTGACATTCGTAAAAAGGTGTTCTCATCAATACATTCATTAAAGAAATAACAAACTTTCTTGCCATTGCACATAAAGCCCCACCTTGTCAAATCACTCGTATTTCCCCACTTCACTTACTGCAACTCTGTGATCAATGACATGACTGTAAGTCTTGCTGGTGTGCTGCAACTAGTGATGTGTCAAAACCGAATCTCAAATCTCAAAACCATCAAAACTTAGGAAAAGTTTCGGTTTCGAGATTCAAAAATTTCTTAATCGAAGGTTTTGGCAGTTTTATTTTTGAAACTGCTGACATTTTTTGTGTCATTGTTATTGTTTTCACACAACACAGTTTCCAAACAAGCTGGTAGCAATAGAGCAAACATCACCATTAACGGTAATGAAACAAGTAAATTTTATTCTGAACTTCAAATACTTAAATACTATAACTGGTACAATTCAGTTTCACATCAATATCATAGACAAACCAACTCAAGGGAGTATGTTTTATCTAGGTCAATATTTACTAAACACAAAGAAATATTGACCACTAAATGTTCTAATTAATCTAATATTCATGTTAATGTTGGTGTTAGAAGTTTAATTAATTTATTTTTTGTTGGTTGTTTTTGAAAAATTATGTTGTATTGGGTTTTAAGATTATCAGTCACATTCACATATTTATGTTATGTCACGGTCAGGAGTCTATCTTTTTCAGTTTTGATTGCATACTTAACATTTTATGATTATGTGTATTTTTTTGTAACCTTGACCTTTGTAACCAGCTAAAGTTTTGCGTTAAGGTTTTGAGATTCCAGATTTGGGATTCGATTTTTAAAAGTTTTGGTTTCGGTTTTGAGATTCAAAATTTCTGGTTTTGACCATCACTAGCTGCAACGTTCGCAGAATTATTGCTTGCGATTTGCATTTGATTTAAGACGCTTTGAGCGCATTAAACCTTTCTACATTGAATCAAAAATATTAAAGTTGAACGATCAGAGGCTACTTAAAATCACCATGTTAGCATTTTCAATTTTAAAAAACAGATTGCCAAAATATTTTGAAGGGGACTTTAGCTTTGTAGCCGAAGGTAGCTTGAGGAGTTCACGCACTGCATCTTTCACGTTACGCATACCTCATCATAGGAGTACAGCATATGACAGGGCCTTTGTTGTAACTGCCTGCCGTCTTTGGAACAACTTACCTTTATCCATCAAAATGCTTGATAGTCGTCCTCGGTTTGTGGCGGCACTGAAAAAATGTACTTTGAGCGTATGGCCTCGGCTGGTGCGTCCTAGGACTGTTTTGGTACTTGCGTAATTGCAGACTGAGTGCGTGAGACTTTTTTTTTTGTTAGACATTTTGTTTTTGTTTTATTGAAAAAGTATTGTTTTTGTGTAAATAATGTGTTAAATTGTGTATTCTATTTTATATATATAATTATGTATGCAGGTTAAGTGTAAGAAAGGGCCATGTGGCCCTAACTTTGCCTGTTGAAATAAAGGATTTTCATTCATTCATTCATGTTTTAACTCCAAATGAAACACGGCTTTAGAGGTTGTCCAACAATAAATGTTGGTATTTTTTTCCAAATGTGTCTAAAGACTCTCTGTTCACTTGAAACTGCCAAAGATTTACAATTTATGTGTAATTTGCTGAGGTAGGGCGTACTCAGAAAAAACAGCTGTATTTTGTTGTTCTTGTCTAATCTGCCATTGTGGCACCTCCTATAGTTCATGTAAATCTGTGGTTTGTGAGTATCTACTTTTAATTAAGTTCTCTTCCCTTACCCTACCAAAATTTTCTTTTGTGATATATTAACACAGTTCAAACCCGGGGCTATAGAATACAGGGGCCGGCTCACGTCTTTGATGTAGCACTTGCAGACACGGTCCCGCTCTTCCACCTCCTGTGTCGTCACCGGGCGGTCAGTCGTGCCTGCTTCCATTACGCAGCCAGCAAAAATCTTACTCTTTTACACGCTCCCCTACCGTTGTACGAACATATTTCTCATATGATACTTATATCGTTTTATTTTGCATTAACTGTAGAATCCAAATATCCAAACAGTTTTTAGTTTACCACAAGTAAATTGGTTTTATAAATACAAACGTAGAGAAACTACAATAATGAAGCTTAAAAAAGTCACTAACCAAGGAATATTTTAATTTTCGGGGTTAGGCACAAACTTTCAGCGAGAAAAACTGTAGTCAATCAGTTCTTCCATAGTAATTACTTAACAATTGTTAAATACCCCTAACAGTTCATTAATGAATCGTCTCAAAAGACAATTGTTATAACTGAGCGCTGGCGGGTACAATTTTGCCGCTCACCTTGCAATTTTTAGGTTGTTGTAATGGCAACACTGCATCAAATACACGTGAAATCAACTTCGCTCTTTCATTGTTATTCGCGTCTTCTGTTTGTTTCTGAAGAAGTTAAAAGAAAAATGATCAGAGGATGAGTAAGTGGCTAAAATCAGCGAAATAGGATAAAACTATTATAATTAAAACGCTCTTTTACTTATTTTTTACGAATAAACACTTTGTTCTATGGACAATATAAAATTACCTAAACCATTACACATTCCTAAAAGATAACCAACCAAGTGTATTAGAATATATGACAAGGGGTACCGGAATATCAAACAAGATAAATAACATTCTAAGCCTTAAGTCAACACAATTCCTAAAATTCAGTTTCAGCACTAATTACTTGTTTCACTAATAGAAACAGTGCAATTGTTTTATCAAGATCATAACATTTTTTTTACTATCATGTTATAAACAGCACAATGCAGACATGTGAGGAACGATGTAATGTGATCACCAAGTTTTTTAAAGCCTTACTTCCTGACAGGCAATAAACGACCCGTTGGTTTTATCGAAAATTTTCAGGCTAATTATTGAAGGAGACCTGATAATGAATATTTTTCTCGCTCAGAGTTTGTTCCTATCCCAAAAATAAAAAAAATCCCCGCTTAGTGACTTTTTGTAGTTCACAAGTTTGTAATCCTTATAATTTTCCCCTTTTAAAAACATATTATTGATTATATATAAAATATTTTTGGACCATCAGATTCTGTAGTTAATGCAGATTACAACGATATAAGTTTCATATGGAAAATTTAATTGTGTACATTTAGGGAAGCGTTTTAATTGACCCGTTTGTATTAAACGTGCCACGCGCTAGCTACACCCGTGGAGGCAGCCCGGTGACGTTACAGCCACATGGCAGAGGGCCACTTTGCTAGTTGACATGAGCCAGCCCCTGTATTCTATAGCCCCGGTTCAAACCTAAGCTTCAGTATATCTCTGGGCATTAGTTCGTCTTGGGATTTTTTTGCTTTTAGGACATAACTTAAAAAAAATAATTTATAGAGAAATAAAAAAAACCTATGCATGGGGCTTTATTTTTTAATAATTAAGTGCTAACTTCCTAACTAAAGGTGAAAAAACTGTTAGATTTTTTTGTCAGATATGGTTTATGTTAAAAGTTTTCATTATGACTTGTATGATTTTCAGGATGATAGTATAGACTACTTGGCGGATGTGCAGAGGTTCAGCAAGCCTTTAGACAGGCCAGTAGAGACAATAGACTGCACTCCAGTGTTAGCAGAGGAATACATACTGGAGACGGAGCGAGGGCCAGGCCGAGTGTACTACATCAAATTGTCAATACTGCAGCGGCCCAGTAACTGCGAGTACCTCGGCCAACTGTATGTGGACAAGGAGTACAGGGAGGGGGAGAGCAACGGCGCGTCCTGCAGGTAGTAAACCTCAGAGCCACCTGGAGGTTAACCCACTGTTTCCCCCAATGACCCTTTCTACCTCACACTTTTACTACTAACAAACTGCTCTTATATTTAGTAAACCAACCTGTAGGTCAGCTCAAGTTATTGTTTTACAACAATTTTATTAACTTCTTCTATTAATGTTTTAGTAATAAGTTTTTTTTTTTTCAGGTTTAGCTTAGGGTCAAGAGCACAAGCGAATCGTTACATCCAGCAGTTTACGGAAATCTTCACTGAGGAGGGCAGAAAATCAGTGAAGATCACTCATGTTGTACCTGGTCAACCTGCCAGAGTGATATGCACAGCGGGTATGAGGGAACGTGATGCCCGCATGGCAGCACTTGTACATCAACAACAGACTGCTCACACATTGAAACAGGTAAGAGGTGAAAAGATCACAACTCTTGTAGAAATTTGCGGGCCAGACTTTTATTTCAGACTGGGTCAAAATCAAATATTATTAGAAAGTTTAATGATTTAAAAAAAAATATTAATTTTAAGACTACAATTGGTTTATAAAATATTGTACATAATCTACTCCGTATCAGAGTGAAATCGTGAACATCTGCAACCAGGTCGGAATCATGAATGTCTTCTGGGGTAACAACAAAATCAAGATCGTCTTCTGCGAACAAAAAATGCAAGAAAAAATGTGAACGTCTTCTGTGGTCTTAGTGTAATAATTGTGAACGCCTACCGTGGTGACAGCAAAATCGAGAACATGTTCGAAGTGACGGCAAAATCAACAACGTCTTCTGCGGTCACAGCAAAATCTAGAGCGTCTTACGCAGTCACAGTGAAATCAAGAACATCTTACATGTAAATTTTGTATCGAGCTTCTTCCTTGACACTTTCTGTGATCAGGGAAATTAAATCTAGGCTCGACCCAACCCAAGCTTGGCCTGAAAATTATTTATGATTCAATCTGACTCCTCAGGTCAATTGTCAACCCAACCCGTTCCAAAATATCAGGAACCCGCAGAACCTTAAACATAAGTGTGAATAGGTCATATAAAAATGCAACGTTTGCAACTTTCTTTAGGAGAATAAGTACTGTTTTGTTATGTACCAAGAATTGAGGATGGGCTTCAGTTAGATATCTGATCTGACTTTAAAAAAGTGGTACAAACATGTAACTAGCTAACATCTATCCATCGATGAAAAGTAAACCCTAATACATTAACAGATTAGCAGCTGACTTCTCATTCACTATCTACAATCAATTTTTTCTTTGAAAGTTTTTCCCTTCATGAATTTTACCTGTCTAGTTACAAAGCACATAAGAAAAGTTATAGAGGGAATATATGTTCCAGTCAAAAGCAAATTGTTTTCCCGAAGTTGGAGGTGATATTTTGTTGGACTAAAATAATTAACGACTATGTATACTTTCACAATGTACATATTGTGACAATTTTGTAAGATGTAAAGTGTATTTGTGCAGGTGCTATGTGCAATGTCACAGCACAACCTGAAGCTACAGAAGGCGCAGAGAGAGCAGCAGGTGTCTAGTGTTGACAACGCGGCCTCGACACTCGGTGTCAACGGACTGGTGTCTCACAACGGTCCTGTCACCAACGGAGACATCACATCATCACCTTCACACAGTATACCTCAGGTAAATCAGAGGAATGTAACACCAGTTAAAAAACAATATAGGCTACAACCATTTGGTTCAGAAACCTTGATCGTGAAAAAGCAGATAGGTAAGTTTTTGTTTTTGAAAACCAGATCCTTAAAACATCTTCAGTCCAACTTTCGAAAATGGAATTTGGAAAATCAAGCTTGATTACAGAATGCACTGCCTACACAATGTTACAGTTACAGTGGAGGTATTAAAAGCTAGAGTTGAACTGGAGGACATAAATCTTGTGTTTAAAAAAAAATAACAAGATAGTTAAAAAATCATATTAAAACCATTCTTGAGGACAGAAGACGAGCGGGAAGGCCCAAAGTGAGATGGTGAAAACGATTTGGGAGAGAAATTAGAAAATTGGGGCTTATTGAGGAGAATGCTGCAGACCAATCCTTCTGAAGAGTGTGTTGATGAGTCCAATTACCAGCTGGGGTATGAGTAGCCACTTAAGTAACTGATTAAGTATAGTAATTATAACTTTTGTTCCAGCAGCAACAAACCAAACCTGTGATCATGACCAACCCTGCCATCAGTGCTTTAGCTAATGACCTGAAGAACTCTGCCCAGCAGTACCAACAACAGCAGCAGGCAGCAGGTATGAGCCCTTCACATGCAATATTTGACTGTCGATATATTTAGACATTCCATTCATGTATTAAGTTGAGCCACAGCCAGAGTGAGCTGATCCAAATTACTGTTTTTGTCAAATACACCAACCTTTTAATCAAACAGATCTGAAAGGACTTATTATGAACTATTGCATCTTATATTTCACACAAAATATTTATTTCCGACGCAACACCTTAGGAAGGAATGTAACTGTAGACAGTTGCTCACTCTTACATGTGGCCATTCAACTAACTATGATCTTTTCAAATAAAAAAATTGCTACAGCTATGGTCCTATTGATTGCAAGTTTACATCCTAATACCCTGACATTTTCAGGTTTTTAAGTATCATTACTATTATTATTGTTTAAAATTCCAGAAAAGTGATAGATTGACATACAATTCATGAAATATCAACTAGCTTCAGTCTGAGTGTTCAGTCTGACATATATTGTATTTGGTGTGTTTTCAGCAAACGCGGCAGCTGCAGCAGCAGCGGCGGCGGCGGCAAGTGCGTCGAGTGCGGCAAACGCAACAACCGTCAACTTTGTCAACAGCCAGGGTGCGCCAGTGACCAACAACCATCACAGCAATGCTGCAATACTGAGCCTACTCAACAGCAACCCGTCGTCTGCTGCTGCTCAGAACCCCACCCTCAACCAACTGCTCAACAACGTCATCACTCCCCCCAACAAGCAACAGGTCTTGTTGGTCTTCCTCAGTTTTCTTTTTGCAAAAATCAGGATTTTGGTTTTTACTCATCATAATTAGGCCTTATAAAGGATCCTTTCTAATAAAACAGCTAATCTTAATAAGTAACAAAGATACACAGATCATTATTCACTCCATTCTACACTCGGTATTCATGTTCAGCTTAAAATGCACACTCAAGAGTGTGCTTTGCTGTCTCAAAGAATTGTTAGTTGAAGTCTTGGTTGTTAAAACCATTATTATAGATTAGATAGGTCGGTACCACTTTTTCAAAGTCGGTCCCGTTATCGGTTCCTAGGCAAAATTGATTTTCGGTTCTCTGCTCCGGTACCATCGGTACCTTATTTTAAATTTTTTAGATAAGCTACTTAATTTTATTTTAACAATATTATGCACATTTCAATTTTTTTAAATCAGTATTTTGCATTAGTATAGGTTGGCCATAGAGAATTAGAGAATTACGAAAATAAAACTCATTTGTAAAAAGCCATGTAAACGTCATCATAAAGGTATTGTTTGAAAACATTTTTAAATTTTGAAATACCCACTAATATCAAAGAAATTAACAGTATTTCAAAATTTAAAAATGATTTCAAACAATACCTGTTACAGAAAAATTATTATAAGATTTCCGATTATTTAAATGATAAGTAAATGTATTTTAGTTTAAGCTATGTGGATTTTAGTTTTATTAGGTAGTGTTTAAGATCTCTGACAATATCACCTGTTTCACCAGCTAACGCTGGATCTGTGAAATGTTTCGTGACAATAAAGTAGGTAATATTTCATTTCATTTCATCAGTCTCCCGCGATCGCGGCAACATCATAAACATCTCCCCGCGGTCACAGAAACATCTTTGTCGTCGTCCCAACTGTAGCAAAATCATGAACATCTATCGCGGCCATGAAGACGTCAACATAGTCGTCCTCAATCGCGGCTTAATCATGAATATATCTCGCCGCCATGTAGACGTCATCATCGTCTCCCGCGATCACGGCAAAATCATGACCACATCTCCCGCGGTTGTGTAGACATCATCATCAACTCCCACGGTCACGGGGAAACATCATCATCGTCTCACGCGATCACGGCAAAATCATGAACATCCTCCCGCATTCACAAAATCGTCGTTGTCGTCCGCAATCGCAGGCAAAATCATAAATATCTCCCTCAACCATGTAGACATCATTATTAACTCCCGCGGTCATGGAAACATCATCGTTGTCTTGCAGGATCGCGGCAATATTGGTAATCTTTTGGCATTATCGGCAACGGGTTTCGGTACCGATGGTACCGGTTTTGAGATTTACATCGACTCTCGGTTATGGTTCTTTTGCAAGATCCGGCGGAACCAACATTTAACGTGAAGTACCGACCCATCCCTATTATAGACATTCAAACTTTTTAATAACATTGACTTTTAATGGCTCAAAGTAAACATCTTATCCTACTTAAAACATATCACCCAAGCCTGTTTAGTATGTATGTTTTATTTTGGTTACCGGTACCAAGTTTGTGGATAATAATTATGTGTTTTCCTCTTGTTTTATTTTACAAGTTTGTTCTTTGCCTTTTGGTACATAAAATAATTTACAAATAATTGTTTTGTTCTATTAAAATAGTGTACAAAACAAATAATGAGAATCTCACCTTAAAATTCCATTCTGCTAATCTGTAACGGTTATAAATCTATCAATAAACATGTTGATTTGAATTATTATGGTTGTTTTTTAACAGGTGCTAACGACGAGGAAGATGACTCTGACACACATCAATCCTCGTTCTATAGCCATCAGTCCGTCCCAGCAGACGCAGGCGCAGCCCGTGCGAGTGAGTCTGTCGTCCCTAACCAACCAACTGTCGTCACCCCAGGCTCGTGTACAGTACAGTACCACGGGGGTGAGGAGACTTAGTGATAACAACAACTCCCCTACTACCAGTCTGGGCCTCTCCATGCCTGGTCTATCTGCACTTTTGGCTGGTGAGTGAAACATTTCTATATGATTGTATTTTTCTGCAGGAACTCCTTCACCAGCTGTTTCACTTAAATTTCATGTGATACCTCTAAAATTTATATTGTGGTTGGCCTTGTTTGTTACAGTCACTATTTTGAGTGTCAAAATAAATCTTTGTGAAACACTACTTTACAAACTAATCATTCCCAGCTGCATTACAAGTTTGACTCTTGTCTCAGGTACTCCCTCGGCTGACAACCCAGTGCCAGGGGCCAACAGTTCCAACAGTGCATTACTAGAGCGACTGTCCACCCCTCCCTCCTACCCCTCGTCTAGTCCCAAGCCTCCCCCTGCCCCCTCGCCCACCGCCTCAGCCTCCGCTACAGCTGTGAGCCTCAACCTAGCCAGTGTACAAGGTGCCCTCGCCTCAATACCTGGCCTACAAAATGTACAGGTAAGTTCCTACTTTAGCAATGGATTATATCTGTTAGGGTTCCACTTATGACTCAGGTCGATTCACACTGATAAAATTGGCAATTTCAAAATTGACATTCTTGTCAGCTACAGAAGGAAGAATCAATTGAAGTTTTCAGTTATACGCTGATTCAGTGACCCAAATGTCCCTAATTGTTGTTTTTACCTACACGTTAAGATAGATCGACACTAGACACCCAGTATTTTTAATTTTATTTCTCACTACATTGTAATGACTACATGGTTAAAACAAACCTACTGAATAACTTGTTCAAAACTAACCAAAACATAGCTTTTTTTTGTTTTCTCGATATTTGTAAAAGCAAAATCATGTTTGTTTCTTTTAAGTATTAGTTTAGTTTGTAGTTGACACCTTTAAATGTACATTATTTATATGTTTCTTATGAATAAAGATTATTTAACTTTGATTTTGCCTTAAAGACCAAGAGGTAAAGTTATTAAGTTTAACTATTATCGTATATATAAATACTCACCTTTGGCTCGCTGGGGGCCCCAGGCCCCCTAGCTGTTAGTCGTCATTAATAGATTAGAGTTTAGTTGTAACAAAGCAGGAATAGGATAATATATAACTAGGGATAACAATAACTAGGGATGGGACAGGACAGGATTTTTTTTCTCCTTGCAAAAAAGATTTTGAAACATTATTGCAAATATAAAAAATAGCAAACAGAATTCATTTTTAGCCTTTCAACATGTATCGCGTTTGCGGTGTCATCTTAAACATCTTGGAGATATCGTCATCGCCTACTGGATTTTCAAAACCATCGTGAACATTTCTTTCAACAGAGGAGACAGTCATCGTCACCCGCCCTACCGGTGAAATCTCCCACAATCGGGGAAACGTCATCACAGTAAAATTGCTACAATCTGATCAGATCCCGTCCAAAGAAAATCCTGAATCTAATGTTATCCCGTCGCAACAATTGGGAATTCCCCTCCCCCTAAATTTCCCAAATAATGGGACTCGTCCATCCCTAATAATAACAGTAGGGAATGGTCATGGAATGCTAAAATTAATCTGTCTGTATGTATATTTTAACGATGTTGTGTTCTTGTATAGGTGTCAATACCAGGCCTTCCTGTGCCTATATCAATGTCTATCAACAATTCTTCTCCACACATTGTTACCTCGCTACCTGTTAATGCCTCGTTGCCTGTGAGTATTGTAAGTTATCGCCCAAGAGTTTTACTTATCTTTGTTTAGATTTAGTTTTGTTTAAGGAAAGGCTCTAGGCCAGGATTTTAAAAATGTAGAAAAAGGAGGATAGCAGCTATCCTCCTTTTTGTTTAGATTTTGTTTATCCTAAACAGTGTCTGGTACAAGGGGCTTATCCTATATACTGATAGGCAAGCATGTTTATTAAAAACAATTTTCTCAGCTCGTGTGCATCGCAGGGAAAATCCAAGCATACTGTTAGAAAGATATTTTCCTGTATATTCCTTTTTCTCACTCTCTTTTTAAAAGCTTTGGTTTTATTGTTTTGGCAGTGATTTTTTTTAGTTCTTTTTGTTTTAGATTTACTCTTGTTATGTTTGTAAAACTCTGCACTCTTGTATTTTTTTCTAAATTATTTTATGTTTACATTTTTATTTATAGCTTTCAGCTGAATACAATACAGTCCTAGTTCAAAATAGTATTTAATTTGTCGTCAGATGCCACCATCTACTGGGTTGTGTTAGTTGTGTAACCTACCTGTGACGAGAAGGGATAACCTAGGTTAGGGCTATGCCTATGTTCACTCTAGGACACCAAAGATCTAGGGCCTTCCGATTCAAAATAGAAACCTTACACTAAGCATTTTTTAATTTATTTATTTATTATTATTTTTAGCAAATTTCCCTGTAGGGAAGTAGCTATTTCCATTGGTCTCATGGTAAGACTTGGGCCCGGGACCGATTTACTTTTTCATTTTGATGTCCCCAGAGGCCAAAAACACTATTCGTTCCAATTGTTATATATGTATACACTATACATATATATCTATATATATAGGTTAGATATATGTGTGTCCGTGAACAAGATAACTTGAGTAATTTTGGTCCGATTTTGATGAAATTTGACTTGAAGGGTAAGGCGGGATAAACTAGAATGAGTTCACAAACCAGCATGTTTGGACCATGGGAGCAGGGATTTACAGGGTTTTATGGGGTTAAAATAGGTTTTTCTCATTTTTGACCCTCAAAACAAAAGATTTCCCAATTTCTCTAAACACAATTTGAAAGAGCTTAAAAAAATAATTAAGTAGGCCTATATTGAAGAGTTTTTTACTGTTATTGATCACATAAAAAATTCAAACAAATCGCAAATGTAAAATTATCACACTATTCTTTTGGAGAATAAGTAAACTGTAGTTTGCTTGTTTACAGATATATTTTGATCAAACTTGGCATATTAACTTATTTTATACTAAGCTATTGATCTTTTACTAAAAAACCCACTTTATTATACTTTAATACTTTTTTAATACTTTTCAATGAAATGGCAACCATACAGAGTAGTTATTTTAAGCCAAGTATGAATGGAGATGAGTGTAGAATGAGTGTCGAGATCTTGTAGTCTTGTTAGTGACTAAGGCTGACATATTCCTTAGACAAAGCTGTTAATTAATAACCCATGTGGCTAATGGCAACTAAGGGACCTACAGTTTATTGTGGAATCCGAACCACATTTTTACCTTGGTATTAACGAATTGGTCTAATTGTCAGGTTAGTTCTGCGGATAGTCGTAGTACTCACTAGTGCGGACATTAATCCACACCAGGGAGTATCGTATCCACAGTGCATGCCTATAAAGATCCACAATTCGTGATCTCCTAGTAGCTGGATTACAGAACGTCACCACCGTCCGAGTATATTATTATATTAAATATTATCCTCCCTGTAGCAGCAAACCTAGTTACTTGTTAAACATAATGTTATCTAAATAGATTTAATTGAAAATCCAATCGGGCAAATGGAAATTAGTATTAAGTATTAAGTAGTTTAGTCTGCAGGTTTGCTGCGGTGGGGTGTATATTAAAACTAAGTTGTAGTAGTCTCTTGCTTGTTTGCTGCAAGTATGTGTGTTCCAGATGACCACCACAAACCTAGCCGCAGTGACTGTCAGTGGCAACTCCCCCGGTGCTACACTCGTCTTTACCAACTCCTCTCCTAGTACGTACACCACCATTCTATCTGTATTAATACTAGAGAGTACTACCATAGATAAATCATTCTCCCTTAGTAGATTTGTCATTCTTATGCAACAGCTGAAGCCAATTTTATTGTTAGTTTTGTACGTCCAACTGTAGAGGTTATGTTTTGTTTACAATTTGTTTCTTGTAATTTTAGTCATTTAAAACCTCATTTAACCAAATAAAACAATTTGATCATTAACAATAACCGGTCCCCTAGTTACATAACCAAATAGTAAAGAACAAATCATGAAAATATAGAAACAAAATGTTGTCCACCCCAGCGATCAGTGTGGACGTACATGAACTAGACATGAAAAACAAGCTTCAAAATTTACAATGGGATGAGGAGTCTACTTGTGTTGCTTAGTCTATGGTACTACACATTACTTCAGGCTAGGCCTACAAGGTCGTAGCATTATCACCTAGGTTAAATTCATTGTTGATTTGAACCCAGGACCTCTGGGACCAAAGTACCACAGTCTCTTACACCAGCTCCTTCCCTTGTTTACAACTACTAAAATAAATAAACTTTTAGAAAGCATAGCCTATAGTAAGAATATTTCTTTACTTCATATTAACTCTAGCAGACAAAAAATAAGTTCTCATCAACACATAGACACGCCTACAGAATTGAATCCATTAAAACTTTCTAGCCTAACGGAATTTTTAAATAAATAGATTATTTTCAATAATATTTTTAAATTATTATGGTAGGCCTAGTTACTAATTTATGTGTCTTGGTGAGCTGTAAGGAAAATACATATTCAAACAAAACACTCTTTAGTAAAACCATTGACTATTGGATACTGAAGGTAAAACTGAATGAAAAGAAAAAGTTACAAATAGAACTCAATTTGGCAATTGATTCTCAGTTCTGGTACCAAGGCAGAAAATGGAGGAATTAAGAACCAACATTCGTCCTCAACCCATCCTTTAACTAATATATTGATTCAACGTCTGCATGACTTTCCATCGCACACACACACACACACACACACAAAATAGTTACTATACTGTACCAAACATTACTTTACCTCTACACCTGATATTGTAGGGCCCAGGACTGTGTCTCAAGGGCATAGTTAGTGATGTGCCGATACAAAAATTTATCGATTCTCGATACTGCTACCATAGACAAATAGAATAAATATAGACTATCAAAGGAAGGTTCCGGCGCCCACCGCTAGGGTTTGCTGTGTAGTTACGGCGCACACCGTTGCAGGCGGAGAGCGCAGGAGCCGTATGCGACCAGCAGACGCTGCAGCGGTGTGCGCTGTAACTACACGGCAAACCTAGCGGTGGACGCCAAAACTTCTGCTAACCGCAGCACAGCTGACGGTCTATATTTATTCTATTTGTCTATGCCGATGCCAACGTCCAAGTATCGGTGGTATCAAGAATCAACACATCCCTAATAATTGGTAATATTGGTATGTAAATAAGTAAATAGAGTCGATTTGTGTCAAAGGAAAATATTACGTTCATTTGTATTTTTCAATCATTGTTTGTTTGTTGTTAAACAGGTTGCTCATATTGAACAGAATAGGTTCGATGTCTATTCCCACTAACATGCTATGATAACCCTTCACACTCAATAGTCTTGCATCAGACTAGTGGTTTTTTATTTAGACTTGATAAGCTTCTCATCATCTTTGACAGATTTTACAGAATATTAGCTGATGCCAGGCGCTTCTGGGGAAATTCCCTATTGATTCTTTTTTAGCAGTGATCACCCTACCCTATTCTAGAAATTACAGCAATTTTTGGGCAAATGTGTCATATGAGCAATTGTCTACTGTACTCAACTACATCAGCTGTAGAAATAGTTGTTCAAGTTTGATTATTTTTCTGATAGTGACGGCGCAGCTGCTATCTGCAGGCAAGACACAGGTGGCAGCTCAGACCCTTCGTACAACTGGAACCCCCAACACCTGCAATATTGTAAGTTAACTAATTGTACTAACTAATTTGTAAGTTGTTGTACTATTGCGGACACATTATCTTTGCTTACAAGGATTTTACCGACCTTAGAACCATCATCATTGTCACTCATGACGTGGCAAAGAAAATCCTAAATCAAATTTAATCTCTTCCCAATGACTAAAAATAGTTATTTGTGTAACTAGTGGGCAAAGTGACACTTTGCTGCACACGAGATCAATGTTTACGGAATGATCTCGAGTGCAGCAAAGGCCTTTTGCACTCGTGTTACACATTATATTTTCCTACAGTCCCTGTAAAGCATATAAATAATTAGTCTTCCAACACTATACAACACGTTTTTAGGTTCAGCTGGCAACACAAATAGGTGCCCTAGAGAAAGTAGTACCCGGTCCGTATCACTCCGCTATTTTTCCTCGGCAAGAAATGTGCTCCGCGACTTGAGAATATAGTTCCGTATGTTTTTGTAATTTGAAGTGGTTTCCGCGCCCAAAAAAATGCTTTAAAGGTATTTTCTTGATTATTAAGATCGTAGGAATGTTTTAAAAACGTTTAAAAGAAAAGTCCAGAAAGTTCAGAAATACCGAAACTATAAACACGAAATGACAGGTTAAATCGTAGTTATAATAGTCAATCAGCTGCTCATAGTATTATTAGGGATGGACGGGATTGAATTTTTAGTTCGGGACAAGACGGGACGGGATTTTTATTTCCTTTCCGATTTTCGGGACGGGACGGGACAGGATTTTTTCCTGTGCATAAAAAGAAAGTCTTGAGTATTGTAGTTACCAAAAAAGACAAACGAAATCAATTTTTACCGTTTGTGGCACTATCTATAAAAACCAAAAAATGGTTTGGTTACAACAATTTACAGGTACACACCTATTAAACCTATTGAAACATGTGACTCGCGGTCAAAATGACGGTCACAGTGCAATCGTTAAAATGACTCGCGGTCACGGCGTCATCGTCGGTATGACTCGCGGTCACGGGGTGATCGTTGGTATGACTTGCGGTCACGGGGTGATCGTCGGTATGACTCCGCGGTCACAGCGTTATCGTCGGTATCTGTCAGCAGACAACATCTAGTCTTATATTAAAACTAATAAGTAAGTATTTTCTAATTTATTTGAGACATAGGTAAAAATAACCAAATTTGCCATCGTGGTATACATTTTGCATAGTTTAATTTAACTTATATTCTATATAACGTAACTAACAAATCAATCAAAATTGCTTGGCAATGTCCCTGAAAATCCCCAAAAAACACATTAGTGTAGCAGGTGCATTTGACAACTTGTATTTAGATTTTTTCAACAACTTTTTATATTTTGTTTAGACTTTTTAATAATATAAAACTTATTTCATATTGGCAAAAGGATAATTTGGTTATTTTTAGCCACCATTAGTGACCAATGTTTATCCAGGTTGACCTGTTACAGGGTGGCCAGTCCATTCAACTGGTAGGATTACAGAGGCCACGAGGGGTTGTAGCTGCTACGACCACAGCAAAACCTACACTGATGGCGCGGTCTGTCATCAACAATCAGCGACACACACTCAAGGTGGCACCCGCCAATACAGGTATGTGTAACTCATCCATCCATGCCAGTTAGCAACAAAGACACTAATCCTAAATATTTTTTAATGATAGCCTACATAAAAAAGATACATAAAGTTTGTGATATATTAAGGTAAATAGGTCCTAACCTCTTAAATTATGCATTTTCACCATGCCCTCTAGTAAGACATTGTAACAGGCCTATAATACAACGTATAGTTTTAACTTGCTGCAATTGTAAAAGTGTAACTGTGAATGTCCGTTTGGTGAATGTCATGGCATGACCATTCATGTTGCAAACGAGCATTGAACCTAAAATTTAATCAGAGGACACAGCTTACCACGAATCATAGGCCCAAGAAGCCAGCTTTGATGAATACTAACATTCATTAAATCATTGTTACTGAGCAATTATTAACTTTCAATCAATATATAACTAACAGACCAATGTTGACTGTGCACAACGTGAAGCATTAATTTAGGTAATTTTGATATTGAATTGCTGACATTGAACTTAAATCGGACATTATTCTATTGACATTATTCATTATTATATTGATTAATTATTGCCTGAAATAAATAGTATTAGACATTTAGACTAACTTATGATTTAACCACGAAACCTCACTGGGGCCTTACCCCATGTACTGCCTAATTAGTGTGTCATGTTGAACCTGCAGTTGATTAACGATTCCGAGTCAGTCGCTTCACTCATGTGATCCGGTGCCGTGCATGTGCGACAGCCACGTATTGGTTGGTGCATGGCTTGACTTAAGAAGCTATTCTTACTTTTTACTATTTTGGCGGGATATTCATTTGGCTGTGGAGGTTGAGCTCCACAAAAGTTAAGTCACTAAGGAAATGGTCAGATTTCAGATCCAGATATGTTGTGAAATCTTGATCTTTCTGTTGTGATGGAAATGTTTGCAATCACTTTTTTCTAATTTCACCACCAACACAACTAAGAAACCCCTTTTTCCTCAATGAGGCCTAGAGTGAGTTTTGTTGGAGACCTGTACTAAATTTGTTACATCACTGGTGTCTTATAAAAATCTGTTAAATATATAAATCTTATCTGTAAATTTGAATGATTTTTTATCTATGTAGATTTATTTTTCTTAACCTTAATCTAAACTAGTCAGAGAATAAGAGTTTGGTATTATTTTTAAACTTAAAGTAAATCTTTGTTTGAATAGCCCTCTTAGGAGATTTCCAAGGTAAGTTGGTTAAACAAGTATTTTAAAACAACTTAGATTCCAGTTATCTTTTTCATTTGAATGCTATCCAGAAACTAACTGTAATGTTATACATTTTAGTCCAGGAGCTGAGGGGGATTGAGCATGCATAAAAGTAGTACGCAATGTTATTGCTGATTATTGTAATATGGACTGTGGTGATCAAAATAACGTATGTCGCCTATTTCAAAAGTGGTCGATAAGGTGGGGGGGAGGGGGCAAACACTGCGGTTTGCGCTATGCGTTAAAACGCTGATAGTTCGAGAACGGTAAAAGATAGAACATCGGTTAAAACGTCGTTGTAATTCTAAAAATATGGACAACAATAATGGTTATTGGGTCCGAGGTCGTATCTCTATAAATAAACAAGTTATTGTATAAAATATGTAAAAATGGACTTTTCGTGTAGTTTTTTTTACCGAAAGTAGAATTAATTTGTGAGTGTCGCAAAGAAGTAATATCAAATATCTTTGCTGATAGTTGTAGTATGGACTGTGGTGATAAAAAATACGCATGTCGCCTACTTTTCAGGTGGGGGGGGCAAAGATGGCGGAACGCGCTATGCATCGAAACGACTGTAGCTCGAGAACGGTACGAGATAGGACATCGGTTAAAACGTAGTTTTAATCCAAAAAATACTACCAATAGAAAAGGTCATTGGGTAAAAAGTCGTATCTTAACTAATAAAAAAGTTATAACAATAATAAGTTTAACAAAATCTACATCTTACAGCTATTTTTTTTCAAAAATCGTATGGATTGTTGATAAATAATAGTGTAATTACTTAATTACTCGGCTAAATATTAACTAGATGCATTTTCTTATAAGAAAAAAATATATTATTACGGATACATTTGGTTTAAAATGTAAAACACGGCCTCCAAACTACATATAATACTTGGGGTTTCGCCGCAATCAAATGCATAATACAGACTACCACTACAAATCCAATTTTAATCATTATAATGTTGTAGGTTATTACAATATGATTATGTAACAGATTCTTATTCAATACAGTTATATGAAATAAAAAAACATTACTACAAAAGTAAATACCTTATAATAAAAAATACGGCAAATCTCTTCATTCTTTCCATAACAATTACACTGGTTGTTCATATTATTTGTTGAATTTAAATAGGTACCTTTTTAATTTCTCTTAGCACCTGTAATACGATGGTACTTGTACATCGATTGATCCTCCTCAAAATTGTCCAAAACAAGAGAAATAATATCCTTTCGACGAATGCTAGCTAGTTTAATTCTGGTTAAACTTTGGGCTTTGGGGTTTGCAACCAAAACCTCTTCACTAATCTCTTGACAAATCAAGCATAATTTGAAATCAAAATCTTTTTTCTTTTTTGTAGAGGTCACTAAGAATGCCATGTCAAGAAATATATCACGAAGTATTCAGATTGTAACCATATTAGGGTGTTGAAAATGAACTAAATACAGCACCTTTTGTACACGTACAATAGTAATAGTCACATACCTGTAGTCGATGAAATAGTTATATGCAACTTTTGTAAGTTGGTGAAATTCTACTTTAAAATTGCCTAATCCACTAGTCACTAAGAACAAACGTATATAAAAAAACAGCCACACACAATTAAAACAAACGTAAGCAACTTAATATAAAATGTATTGAAATTTAAAATATTTAAATAACTATTAACATTTATAAAAGAATGTTATTTGTATAAATAAAACACAATAAATGTCAGTAGTATTAAACAGTACAAACACTTTCACAACCCCGATATCACTGAGTTGGAAGGCAATGAACTTTGGGGGATTAACAGTTGTGCCGATATCAGAAGCACTGCCCAGCAATTATGACGCAACCTATAGGACGAACCCCAAGGCGTTTGGAGGCCGTGTTATACATTTTAAACCAAATGTATTCGTAATAATATATTTTTTTCTTATAAGAAAATGCATCTAGTTAATATTTAGCCGAGTAATTAAGTAATTACACTATTATTTATCAACAATCCATACGGTTTTCGAAAAAAAATAGCTGTAAGATGTAGATTTTGTTAAACTTATTATTGTTATAACTTTTTTATTAGTTAAGATACGACTTTTTACCCAATGACCTTTTCTATTGGTAGTATTTTTTGGATTAAAACTACGTTTTAACCGATGTCCTATCTAGTACCGTTCTCGAGCTACAGTCGTTTCGATGCATAGCGCGTTCCGCCATCTTTGCCTCCCTCCCCCCAAGTTCTCGACCACCTGAAAAGTAGGCGACATGCGTATTTTTTATCACCACAGTCCATACTACAACTATCAGCAAAGATATTTGATATTACTTCTTTGCGACACTCACAAATTAATTCTACTTTCGGTAAAAAAACTACACGAAAAGTCCATTTTTACATATTTTATACAATAACTTGTTTATTTATAGAGATACGACCTCGGACCCAATAACCATTATTATTGTCCATATTTTTAGAATTACAACGACGTTTTAACCGATGTTCTATCTTTTACCATTCTCGAACTATCAGCATTTTAACGCATAGCGCAAACCGCCATGTTTGCCCCCTCCCCCCCACCTTATCGACCACTTTTGAAATAGGCGACATACGTAATTTTGATCACCACAGTCCATATTACAATAATCAGCAATAACATTGCGTACTACTTTTATGCATGCTCAAACCCCCTCAGCTCCTGGACTATTTACCCAGGGAGGGAATTGAGTGGATTGGCTACACCATAAACAAATAAAAATGTGAGATATTTTTATCATATTTTATAGGCAGACCTTAAAATATAAACCTCAGTGATTGATTGTTGCTTTTTTTTACCACACAGTTGTTGTGTTAGGTTTATTGTGGGGATATTTATTACCCAACCAAAATAGGCAGTCAAGAAATATTTCCACTGACATAACAGCTGTTTAAACCAGGAGGGTAACATCTATTAGTATATTTACTAGAGTCCATTAGTGTTAAACTAGTTGTTTCCAGTTAATAATATTAACTATATTTCAATATCATCTAATAATTTAAATAACATTTTAACTTGTCACTATGAAAAAAAGGAAAATTTAACTGTAAATTAAATTAACAATAATTAAAAGATGTTAAGCTCAATACTGTTTTAATAAAAGTTTTAACAGAGTACAGAATACTGCCTGGCATACCAGTTAACGAGTTAACATTTTCATCTTAATTTTGACAGTTAAAGAAGAAACTCCTTCCATACTATGTTTTTCGTAAACACTCTAACGTCTTTAGCCAGATGACCTTGTTTTTGTTGTTCTTTACCCATTATTTTTGGTTTATCAAAAGCATGGCATCTTGCAGGGCTCTGGCAGATTAAGACCAACTTTCTCAAGTGTCAGTCCTTGACATTTTTTGATGGTCAAGGCTAAAGCAATTCAGCATGGGAACTGTCGACGGTTGTATTTTAGGGGAATATTTCCTTATGATGGTTTTAAACTTAATTCGGGTAGTATACTCAAAATCACTAACATCTCCGGGAAAAGTTGGAGAAATCATGAGCATCTTCTGTGATCAAGGCAAAATCGCGGATCTCTCTCTCAGTAGTGGAATAATGTGACCATCATAATCTCCCGCAGTCCCAGGAACATCATGATAATTGTCTTCTGCAGCTCTGGTCAATCGACTACATTCAGCATCATTGGAAACATCCCTGATCTGTTCCTACACTGCTCCTTTTGCCTATGAGGTTTGCTACGACTGTTTGCCCGTATAAACCTTAACAAAAATTATGCAAATATAGAACTGTGACTTGTATTTACAATTTTAAGAGGACACACTGTTGTTCCTCATAAAACTACCACCACATTATCAATTAAAATTAAGGTCTAAAGCGGTGTTTACACTGCCGTATTATCACATCCATAACAGGCGTGATCGCCATGCCAATAGACAGCTGTACGCAAATGCGTTGGCACCACGGTACCGTCCCACGGTCACAAGCAGCCGTGTAGTGTAAACAGTTTTCTGGTAGAAGCGTATTCATTAAAGTCGTATTCATTTTTATTTACGGGTGCGTTATGGATTGTGCCAACAGATTAATAATTATTTAAGGTTGTGCTGCATTGAGTGTTATTTTATCTGAAGAAATAGCACGACATTTAAGTGTTATTAAAAGAAAGAAACTAAGCTGTAGCTTTCAATATTTATATCAAATAAACAAGGTTCACTTTGATACAGTTCAAGCATTTGAATTGTTTGACCTTCCATTAATTTTAAAGACTGCTTTGTTTTCACCGTTTCAATTTATTCGACTTGTATCAATGTTAAAGATTTTTTTGTTTTTCATGGTACCGTACTTAAAAACTAAGACGACAACCACTGACTTTAAAGAACAATAGTTAAACTCGTAGTACACACAACAACGAGACGAAAGACGATAACTCCTTACCACGTCTAGCCACGCCTGCCTCTGGCGTAACAACCAAATACGGTTTTGTTAGTTCCAAAGGGCGTGGAGAACAGGCGTATTGGGTTGCCACGCCTGTTGCTCTCACGTCTCCACTGTTTACACGAGGCGTGACCACGCCTCTCAAGAAAGTGAGAGAATTTCTCACCTAAACACTATCAGCCTTTAGCCGTGGCCCCACGACAGTGTAGTTAGTTTGTTGCATTTTATCTTGTATTTGAAGGAACCAATCAGATGTTTGTTGTTTGCACAGTGGTGAGGACAGCTGACATGAGTGGGACCAGTGGCCAAGTGTTGACTCTCTCCTCACATCAGCAGATACAGATACAGGCTCTGCAGAAACAAGCTCTGCAACTGCAGCAGTTCCCTCAGCAGACCGCAGCAGGCATCACAGTGAAACATCAGCGACGACGCAGTACCGCAGACAACAAGTAGCACTGACTCATCATTTGTTGGTTGTAATCTTTTTATTTATTTACCTATATTTATATGATCAAACTGAGATAAACATTTACAATAATTACAATTACATGTTTTATGTGAAATTAAATTTTTACAGTCTTTTAAAGATAATGGATTATTTTATTGATTTTGATTTGTATTTAGATTTTGATTTTATCGAATGACAGTTATTTTAGTATTTTAAATTGAACAACAGTTTATTTTATGTATTTTTTTAATTGTAAGTTACAGTTATTTTTTTAAGGTTACTGATTGAAGTGAAATAATAAATTGTGATTATATATTTTGTTATTTTTTTGTGTGAGGTGGAGTGATCTCTAGGTACACAATGAATTGTTGTAAATACTTATGGACATTTTTCAATTGTTCCTTGTGAAATGTAAATTAACTTTATCATAACTATTAGTAATTTTCTTATTTTTATATGTTTGTACTATAACTTTATTTGATTGTTTTAGTAACCGTTTTATATAGCTTCTAAAGCATCAGGAAATGCTTTGTCGTTTGAACCCTGTTTATTTTTTAGTACTTAAATTCTTCTTGTACAAAAATTGTTGTGTTTTAAGTTTAACTAAATCAAATCATTTTATTCTGTCCGCAAAATAGTTTATAAATAGGTGGTGTGGTTGTATTCACAATGCAAATCATCTTTTTGGCACTGTTTTACAATATAATAAAAATTCTTTATTTTTTATTGATTAGAAAAAAAATGGAATTATTTTTGTATTAGATTAATAATATTGATTATTTAGGAAGACCAATACTTTAATTTACTGTTTTTAGTTTTGACAGATCAAGTGAGTAGTGTAGTTAGTTTTGATACAATGTTTAAACTTTAAACACTGCCAATATATAGAATAACATAGGTATTATGTTAATGAAAAATAGTACGGTATTATGAATAAAACCATCTTTATTTCGCTTAAAGCTTTAGATCATATCTGAAGAGGTATGCTATCCATAACATATCTATCATTTCTCTTAATCCTCTTACATCCTGTTCAAACTCGGATAGTCTATCTTTTAATCAATGATCTTTAATGTTATGATTTCAATATAAAACTTTTAGGCCTAGTAATAAATACTGTATACAATTTAACATAAGTACCCTTTTTAATATTTTTTTAATTGATGAATTACACAATATATAAAAAAAAAAACTTTGGGCTACAAATGTTAAATTTGAAATATCCATTTTAAAAAGCTAGAATGTGTTTTATAAGTTAATTTTAATGCGTAAATTGCACATTTTAATAGGGTTCAAAACTCGTCTCCAGTGGCGGTTCCAAGGGGGGGGGGGGGCTACAGGGGCTAAAACCCCTCGATTGGACTCTGAAAAAATAATTTTAAACAAACATTTTGTCTTTAAGATGTATTTAAAATGTGTTTAAAATGTAGTATACAGGTTTTTAAACACTGTTCTAGACGTTAAAAATGGCTGTAGAAAGTCACCAAACGGTTTTAGAATATGAAATAATTTTCCAGGGGGGGTACCCCGGATTCCCCTCCTTTCTTGGGAAACAACAAACCACCTGGTAGCCCCCACCACAACCACCCTTGACAAGGTCCTAAAACCGCCATTGCTTGTCTCTGATGCATAACAAATAATGCAATGCAATGCCCTTTTAACTTGTAAAAATTACTTAATAGCTGAAAGATTTAACGTTAAAGAAAAAAACATCACAACATGCAAAATATTATGTTTGTTAAGGACATTTATTAGTTGGACAACATTACTAATTTTCAATATTTCAAATGTGTTGATTATATAGGTCTATTTCATTTAGTCTATTCCATTAACCACCTCAATCAGTGATTAATTAATTTTTAATGATAGTAGCCTATCCAAAATCTGATTTCATAAACCGTTTCTTCTCTTGTTTTCAATCTGACTGAGGAGGTAATATACTGTTAAATTACAATTCATGTTTGAAACCGCTACAATAAAGTTTGTCAGTAGCACTGGACCTTTGAAAGCACCCTCTAGAAAAAATGGGGGAGCAAAGCCATTAAGGAAACTACAATATTAATTACCATTCATCCTTTGTGTTAAATCATAAGCTTCAAAATGATACCTTAATCTTAAAATCTGTAAAGCTTTTTATTTTTCAGTAAAAATTAGCATATTAAATTACCGGTAAAGGTTTTATCGTCATATCAATACCACAAAACAAACAAATTTATTCCATCCTTCAGTGTTAAGCGTAATTCAGACTAAAGGGCAATTTAAAATGTTGTGAAAATGGAATCGGAAATGTCCAACAATGGTTTTAATTTTTAGGTAAGATGATAAAGGTGGTGGACAGTTGCCTTATATTAGGCCTTTCAGTTCCATTTAGAATCTTTCTTGGTTTGGTAGCTTGTTTTCAGCTTTCTTCAATTATACTATTCTTTAGAAAACTGTAAAAAATGTAAATTCTAGCATAGTGTAAGGCTTGTTTTGTTTTATCTCTTCACTAGTCTCATACGTGTGGGGTGGGGATGTCTCAGCTGCATTAGACTGTGTCTAGTCCATAGCCAGGTTGTATGTATTGTACCTGTTGTATGTTGGTGTATTTCTTGCTTTTACAACCTTCTAGTCTGTTGAATATATACCACAGGAACTCATTTAATGTCTAAATGTATCATTTTGATGTGAAAAATAGATTACTTGCAAGAGTTTTGGTACTGCCCTTTGCTAATTTAACATAAAAAGTATAGTTGTCGGTTTTTAGCGAATTTCCCTATAGGGAAGTAGCTATTGCCTTAGGTGGCACGGTAAGACTTAGACCCGGGACCGATTTACTTTTTCATTTTGATGTCCCCAGAGGCCAAAAACACCATTGGTTCAAATTTTTATATACGTGAATGCGATAACTTGAGTAATTTTTGTCCGATTTTGATAAAATGTGGTTAAAAAGTGTAAAGCGGGATAAATTTGAATGAGTTTGCGAACCAGCATGATCGGACCATGGGAACGGGGCTTTACGGGGGGTTTTATGGGGTAAAAATTGGTTTTTCTCACTTTTGACCCTCAAAACACAAAATTTCCCAATTTCTCTTTAGACCTTCTTAAAGAGCTTAAAAAACAAATAATTTAGTATATAAAGGTATTTTTGTTCAATTATTGGTAACGGAGAAAATTAAAAAAATTTTAAATTTAAAATTACCATGTTATTCTTATGGAGAATATTGTAAAATGTTGCAGTTTGCTTGTTTATGGATATATTTTGATAAAACTTGGCAAATTTATTTATTTTATACTAAGCTATCAATATCTTACTAAAAAACACACATTATTAGTTTCCTTGTAGCAGCAAACCTAGGTACTCGTTAAACCTAATGTTATTTAAATATATTTAATTTAAAATCAATTCAGACAAATGGAAATTTGCTTAGTCGGCAGGTTTGCTGCGGCGGGGTATTTTATCTATGTATACTTATGCTCATTTTGAATATGAAAAACAATGTTTTTGGTCTAGCTATTGACAATAAAAACTATAGACTCATTCAATTGGTAAACAAATCTTCCAAGAGTATTATTTTTAAGTTTTTTATTACATCCTATAAAGTGATAAACTTAAAATTATTACAAATTTACAAGTAATAAATTTCATCACTAGAGCCTAAAGTGATCCGATGGTGCAAGAGCCTGTGGCATTGCCTTAGTTGGAAAATTAGTAAGGGTCGATAATTAGTTCCCAAAATTGTTTCCTGCTTGTTTTGTCACTATTTAAAGAAAACTTTTCCGTCATGTGAATGCAACATGTATTATTATTAAAACTACTGAAATCCTCTTACATTTTAATTTTGTCTAAATGTCGATTAAGATGTTCTTGTATATATTGCTGTAAAATTTACAATGCAACACAATGATAGAACACACAAATGTTTAAATTACGATACCATAGTATTTTTTTTTTTTATATAGGCATTTACAAACTATTTTCATTTTCAAAATCAGCAGGCAAATTTTAAAGTAGATCAAAAGTATAGATTTTAAAAGTGAAATCCTCAACTTCGGTTGATTCTTTTACTGCCCTAGGGAAAAAAAGAACCACTTAATCCCACAATGTTCTTATTGATAACAGCTGTTCCTTTCCCTTATAAGTAAGCCCCATACTGCCTGGAACTTTTTACACAACGTGAGTTGTGTATCTCTTCCTTCTACCTTGATGAATCCCTAAACCAAGTTCATTTCCCTCAAAATAACTAGAACTAGAATACAGCTTATGAAATTTCAGCTGCCAAATAAGTTGAATGGATAATTTGGATGTTTAGTCTTGACCGCTGAAGGTGCTTGTGTTTCAAGACTGACACAGCTTCTAGTAGCTTAAAGCTTGTACGTAGTACTCAAGCTTCTACTGCCAACCGTGACGTGTCCAGAGAGAATTAAGTCTTAAATGGTTCCTCAGATTTATTTTTTTACTCTTGAAATTTAGATACTACGATACTACATTATAATAATGAGTGTATATCAGCTGTTTTAACTGACAAGTCACATTAGGATGCCGTTACGTATGTATAACATTCCTATGTGTAACATTAGGCTTATGAAGTCTATACGCATTTTCTTTTTAAATTTTAATGATCAGTTTAAATCATCATGTCATTGTATAAACTAATAATTGTTTTTTAAACCTGAGTTACGTATTTAAAATTTCAACTGTAGATTTTATGCCACTTCTATCTACATTTTGACCTAGAGGTTCATTGTTTTTACAAAATTAAAGCATATTATGTAGAAGTTAAATCTTACTCAAATTAAAGACTGACTGAAAGATTTGTTATCTTAGTACTGTAGACAATTAGTCAATAAATACCTGTATCCATTTACCACAATTTATATTGTCTCAGGATATACAGTAGTAACCAACTAAATATTATTGATACGTTTTCTGGAGATCAAGATTATTTTTTGTCAGACAAGGAAATTAAAACATAAATCAAAATAACAAATTCTTTGTTCTTAAGGAATGGATGAAGTTTTTCTATCACTCATGCTCATTTTACTTGTGTTTTTGTTGCCTTAGGTGTTTCTTCATCAGAGTTAACAACACAAAAGTGATCTGATGTAAATTGTAAAAGCTGTGTATAAAACCTATCGATCTAAATAAAGTTTGGCATATCTGTTTGGATATCATTGGACCATTTTCATGTGGTCATGTGGATGTACTCTAGTTAAGGCTGTACTATTTTTTAAACTATAAATTTAACATAAATTCATGATATAAAAATATAGGCTTATCTACCTTTGGGCTTAGTCGAGGCCATTTTCAAATATGTGTCAAAAGACTGTTATATAATACGATAAACCTTGAAAGAATAATGTTCCTGGTTTGTGTGAATTTACTTTATTTACATTTTAATTATTGTTTTATTCGCGACAATACTATTTTGTCAAGATTGACAATGGCTATTGATAATATCTAAAGCCATGTTTAAACCAGAGTTTACAAAACTTTTTTGACAATAGATATTGCATAGACATGGCTTTGTAAAATTAATCCAAACATATATGTTTACTTCATCTATTTAAAGCCCATGATAAGGGCTGGGTCCACTCAAGAACCATCAAAAAGCTACTGATGCGGCAAGTTAATAAACACTCAGCTACCCAGCCAGAATTTGAATTTCGCACAATTAAATGTTAATATTTCTGTTTGTTATGTGTTGATTTGAAAGAATTGAGAGAATAATTTTTGAAGTAATTGTGAACTCAAAGATTGGGTTCTAAACCTTTAGAATAAAACTATACACTGAAGTGCTTAATCTTACAGTACAACCAGGATATATCTGACAAAGTGTTGGACTATCACTTCTTTAAATCCTCAGGTCAATATTTTCAGTTCTTTTATGAACTTTTTAGTATGAAGTAATTGCAAATTTATTTTGTGATATTTTAAAAACCTTAAAAAGAAGCTGTTGAGCTAGAATAATTTATTTCC